TTTACAAAAGCTGAAACAAATTCAGAGTTTAATGTTACTTATTTTGCTAAAACATATTTAGCCCCTCAGTTGTTAGTTTTTCTACCCACCTTGATGATCTGTCCATCTGCTGTTCCAATGAAGAAAACCATCCAGCCGTTCAGCTGGACGGCCAGAACAGAACTCATGAAGTTCTGCTTAAAAAGCACAGCCTTTGGTCTCAGGAGAACCGACTGAGGAACAGAGAGAATCGGTTCAACATTTTGTCTTTTCAAACCAAGGAAAGATGTATAGTTTTATAAATGGCAACACAGAATGTCTGGAACAACTTTAAATGTTTATATTTCAGACATAAATATAAACAAAACTATAAACAACAATACACACATTGCCACAGATCATATGATAAAATGGTTTTTACATTTCTCAAAACTGAACACAACAAAGTTAAAGTGATTTAAAAGAGAAAAAAAGTGAATAATACACAAAACCTGCCAACCTTTATATTTTTTCAATAGAAATCATTAAATTTTATTTGATTTATTAGTCTGTTTCAGTTCATACATGTAAAATGCTGCTGGAGATTCTGAGTCATCCAGGACTGAGTAAATATCAAAGCATGTTAACCTTAAATATTCAAAAGATTATGTTTAACAGTAACTTACCAAGGGCTTTGTAGTTTGATGTGTAAAAAAAGTCTGGATCTTTATTCATCTCCCTGTTGAAATCAGGACTGATGTCAAACAGCAGCAGCTCAGTGTTGCTTTCTCCTCCGTCCACACTGAACACTCCACTCCACAGGACCTGCTGTCCACCTGGGACGACCGAGGACGCCAGCAGTCTGCTGTCTTCACCTCCAGAGGAACTGAGAATCGCTCCATGAAGAGACTCCAGAGTCTGAGTTTTACTGGTTTCAGCCTGAAGCCAGATCAGACGGACTTTGTTGCTTTTACCTCTTGATGCCACGTTGGAGAACAGATACACTGTTGAGTTGATCTGGAATCCGTCCACAAACTCTACTGCAGCTTCAGTTTGGATCCCAGGTTTATCACCTGATTGACCAGACCAGGAAAATATTTCCCCAAGCTGGTTTTGATTGGTGTTCTGAAGGTTGATTGTCTTTAAATCAGCGCTACAGTCTGTCTTGAGTCTAGGATTCTTTATCGCTGTCAGGATGTAAGTCTCAGTCTGACCTGAATCCTCCTTCACATCCACCAGAAAGCTGACAGAACCACTGCTGCTTCTCTGAGGTCCCACCTGGATGTGTTCACTGTGAACCAGCTTGGAGATGTTCTTCAGGTCCAGAATCTCACAATAACCACAGCGTTTGTTTCCAGTCACTCCACAGCTGATCAATGTGTCATTTTTCTCAAATGGTAAAAAAACATTCACTTTGAAAGCTGCATTCCAGGTCTTCATGGGGTTTCTGTAAAATTCCTCTTCATCCAGTTGGTCCCCACTCTTTAAGGTCCCTCTCTGGGTCAGGCTGTAGGTCAGAGTCAGGTCATGGCTCAGCTGGTAAAGTTTCTCCTCTGTAGCGATGTAGACAGAGCTGTTGCCCACAGCGAGCTGACGGAGGTCACCTTCAAAGTTAAAACCTCTGTTCTCCTCCAGACACTGAGCAGGTTCTCCCCAGATGGAGCAAAGCAGACCGAGCAGAAAATAGATCATCTTGTACCAAAGACCGACTGAGACAGTGAGACATTGATGGACTGCAGGACAGTGTGGTGTCTGTGTCCAGAGGTGTGCGTAAATGCGCTGCTAAAAGAAGAAGTGAAAAAATTGGAAGGAAATGAGCGAAACCGGAAATAAAAACAGCACATAATTTACAAAGGTTTTAGTAACCATGTTGTGTGTCTGCGCAAATGAATTCACCTGGTCGATTCGCTTAAAGCGAGTAAAGCTCCGAAATAAAACGCGCACCTGTTGAGTGAGCGCGCGCTGCCCAGGTAAAACTCTGCTAAACACTGGCTACAATGAACGCTTTTTCTCAATGACATTTTTACAGGGTCGCACACCTCCGCAAACTAACAGAACACGGTCCATCATCCAATAGTCCCAAACGACTTATTCTAAAAGTCTATGAGTATTCTGAAGTCGAGTCGAAACGTTGTCTCCACATAAAGGGATGAGTTTTGATCCATTTTATGAACACAAACGCCCTCTAGCGTCGGGAAGTTGTCATTACTGCCAACGACTCCTGCCGAAGCCTTACGAGTTACGACCCATTCGGTAGGCGGAGAAATGCCTTTTTACTTCCCCGGCAGATTACCTGATGAAGCAGTGGCGGAGCTAGACTTTTTTCAAGGGGTGGCCAAAGGGTGAGCAAGGCTTTATCAGAGGGGTCCATATACAAATGAGAACGAAAAGGAAACAAATATTTTCTCACACACTCAAATTAAAATGGTTTATTTAAACTAAAATTTGCCATGACCAAACAAGACGTTAAATGGCACTATGGAACAGTGAACATGTAAATGTAAACTCAGAGCCCAGAATATGACCAAGAACAAATTCTCACAAATAAATAAATAAAAATTAACTGGTGCTTCTGGTGTGCAATAGGTTGTGCTGGGTGGGGGCAGTTCAGTGCCATTTCCTCTGCTTCACTGTCTTCCTCCCCAGAGTCTGACTCTGAATCTGTATCACCCTCATCTCTCTCTGGAACTTAATTGGAAATGCATAAACAGACACAATAAAAAATGCAAAAAGCATCATGCTAACCTTTAGAATTAGGCTTATTGGATTTTAATACTTAATAACTCTCTGTCACAGCCTCTAACCCGCTGGTGATACACTTGGGCCTGGAGTCTCCTGGCTGGATTCTCCAGGTTGGTCACTGCTGCAGGGTTCTGTCTGGTCCTGGTCACTGCTGCAGGGTTCTGTCTGGTCCTGGTCACTGCTGCAGGGTTCTGTCTGGTCCTGGTCACTGCTGCAGGGTTCTGTCTGGTCCTGGTCACTGCTGCAGGGCTCTGTCTGGTCCTGGTCACTGCTGCAGGGTTCTGTCTGGTCCTGGTCTGGTCCTGGACACTGCTGCAGGGCTCTGTCTGGTCCTGGTCACTGCTGCAGGGTTCTGTCTGGTCCTGTCACTGCTGCAGGGTTCTGTCTGGTCCTGGTCACTGCTGCAGGGTTCTGTATGGTCCTGGTCTGGTCCTGGTCACTGCTGCAGGGCTCTGTCTGGTCCTGGTCACTGCTGCAGGGTTCTGTATGGTCTCTGGTCCTGGACACTGCTGCAGGGCTCTGTCTGGTCCTGGTCACTGCTGCAGGGTTCTGTCTGGTCCCTGGTCACTGCTGCAGGGTTCTGTCTGGTCCTGGTCACTGCTGCAGGGTTCTGTCTGGTCCTGGTCACTGCTGCAGGGCTCTGTCTGGTCCTGGTCACTGCTGCAGGGTTTCTGTCTGGTCCTGGTCTGGTCTGGTCACTGCTGCAGGGTTCTGTCTGGTCCTGGTCACTGCTGCAGGCTCTGTATGGTCCTGGTCACTGCTGCAGGGTTCTGTCTGGTCCTGGTCTGGTCCTGGACACTGCTGCAGGGCTCTGTCTGGTCCTGGTCACTGCTGCAGGGTTCTGTCTGGTCCTGGTCACTGCTGCAGGGTTCTGTCTGGTCCTGGTCACTGCTGCAGGGCTCTGTCTGGTCCTGGTCACTGCTGCAGGGTTCTGTCTGGTCCTGGTCACTGCTGCAGGGTTCTGTATGGTCCTGGTCTGGTCCTGGACACTGCTGCAGGGTTCTGTCTGGTCCTGGTCACTGCTGCAGGTTCTGGTCTGGTCACTGCTGCAGGGTTCTGTCTGGTCCTGGTCACTGCTGCAGGGTTTCTGTCTGGTCCTGGTCACTGCTGCAGGGTTCTGTCTGGTCCTGGTCACTGCTGCAGGGTTCTGTATGGTCCTGGTCTGGTCCTGGACACTGCTGCAGGGCTCTGTATGGTCCTGGTCTGGTCCTGGACACTGCTGCAGGGTTCTGTCTGGTCCTGGTCACTGCTGGCAGGGTTCTGTCTGGTCCTGGTCACTGCTGCAGGGTTCTGTCTGGTCCTGGTCCCTGCTGCAGGGTCTGTATGGTCTGGTCTGGTCCTGGTCACTGCTCAGATTTCTTTAAGAAGAACTGGGAGATCTTCCCTTTTCTCTTCATTTGGGTCTACACAATAAGAGCCTGGTATTTACACTCCATGACTGTTTGGCAGAGACAACACTATTTTAACTATTATTTAAACTATAGTTTTTAGTTTTCTGTAGCTAGCTAAAATACTAAATTAAAAATACATTAATTAAAATTAATTAATATAACTAGTTGGGTTATAATTCAAAGCTTTCATATGACATAGCCTACTTACATTTCAGTCATTATAAAACTTAATGGTTTTTCACATATTTTTACCACACATTTAAAGCAAGAGCTGGGAGAAATAAAACATTAGAGGGCAGCATGTGCACTAAAACATGTTAAAAGAATCTGTCTAAACACAATCTACCAGCACTAGCATGGCTAATATAATAAACGAGGCACTACGCAGCGATACACAACCATTTTTTTTTTTCTTTTTAGAAATGTATGACAAGTGCCGCCTCTCATTAGGAAGGTAACAGCGGTTACTGCTGAGCGGTAAAATGTTGGAAATACCTGCAGAACTCCTCGACGGTGTAACTCTAAAGCCTCGGATGTGTTGTGGATCAAGCAGGACCCACATGTCAGTTTAACCAATGAACAGTGTCGGGCATCGGGCTGCCTTCAGGGACAGTCGGAAATTATACTTTTCCTGGCAAATCTTTGCCGATCTCATAAGTATTATATTTTAAAATGACCATTTCCAGTGGGGTGGCAGTAGGGGTGGCCAGGGCTCTGTTGGGGGTGGCAAGTCCCACCCCGGCCACCCCTCTGGCTCCGCCACTGAGGTGAACCAATAAATATTATTACTTATCATTATCTTGGTGAATGTTTACTGCCTCCCGACCTAAGAGGGAACTTGTAAGAATCGGAATTGTTTTATATCATATGCAATTTGGTCTTGGATTCCAAATGGTGCCTTTACAAAGGATGGAGAGCGAGCTCCAGCAGAGCCACGAGCAGAACGGCCAGCTGACCGGGAGGCTGCACCGCGCCGAGAGGGAGGCCAGCGCTCTGACCGCTCAGGTACGCTGCTCCACATCCGGTCTGAGTCTGACTCCTCAGAGAGTCGCTGCTGCTTTAACTCTTCACCTCTGACTGCTGGCAGGTCGACAGCCTGAAGCATTCGCACAAACTAGAGCTGGCCAGCGTCAGGCTGGAGTGTGCTCGCTCCAAAGGAGACATGGAGAGGGAGAGGGACGCACTGCAGGGACAGATGGACGGTACAGAGACACTCCCAGACACAAACATACGCAGTCGTTTTTTTATGACTTGTGGGGACACTTTACTGACTTCCATTCATTTTCTTTTATCCAACCCTAACCATCACATACCTGACCCAAAAACAGCAATTCCCCTCATGGGATCCAAGAAAATGTCCCCTCAAAGATCAGTGGTCCCCACAATCCCAGAAATAGGTTCCCACAAGGATATAAAAACCTGATTCACAGATGCACACACACCTGATTGATTGATTAACTGGTGTGGTTGATATGTGACGTGTTATATAATGTTATTTATTACCCATCACTTTTTGTTTAAAATTATGGAAATTTTAATTATGACCAATATGACTTTACAATTTAATTATAATTTTATTGTGTATATATTTTTTTCTATTAAAATGCCATTGACCTCGGAGTTTTAAGGATGAAATTAGAAATTCTTACTTGAAAGGCCTGAGATTCTGAGATATTAAAAAGCTTATAAGTGAGTTATGCAAGTTCTGTTTAAAATAATAGTTTTATCTTCAATAAGGTTTTCGTTGGTTCATCACTTTATTTTTAGTAGACTGGAGACTCACCAGATCCTGCCAGACTGTTACAGAAAAGCTCCCTGTCAAAATGTTAATACCTGAACATCTCTGTGAACAGAGATGTTCAGGTATTAAAGCAGACTGAGTCTGGACTTTGACTGGACCATTTGATACCTCAATATGCTTTGATCCACAGCAGGTTTGGTCGGTGTTCATGTCCGCATGTTCTAAAAGTTTCCTCTATTCAAAACCTGAATTAATTATTTGAATTCCTTTTTTAAACCAGATCTCAGTTCCTCCATTATTATTATTATTATTTTTACAAATGGTGAGGGAACAAATCCTCCCAACATTTGTTCTGCTCTGTGTCTGCAGAGCTTCTAACAGCTCAGCTGTGACTAGCGTCTGCTTCATGTGTCTGTTTTCTACTTCCTTCTAGCATAAGAAAAATACTTTTCCAAGAAACACTAAATTAATGTTTTTCTTTCCTTAAGTCTCACCTAGCTAAAGTCAATTCATTCATAAAAGCTACTGTACACATCACAAACAAGCTGTGTTCATATTTTCCAAGGCAGGAAGTATATAATGTGTGTATCTGGTGTGTGTGTCAGGTCTGCAGGCAGACGTTGAGGTGCTGAAGGCGGCGCTGGAGCGAAACAAGGAGGTTGTGTTGGAAAAAGAGAGAGAGATGGTGAGGAAGGTGCAGTCGGCCCGAGAGGAGGAGTTCCACAAGATGGCCGCCTTACACGAAGAGAGGTGAGACTCACCTCATGAACCTGATCCAGAATGAGTGAATATGAACGAGTGAGTCGTGTTAAATCATCCTGCATGTGTTTGTTCCAGGCTGGAGCTGGAGAACCGCCTGGCAGTGTTGGAACAGCAGAGGGCGCTGCAGGACTCGTCGGATCAGACACTGAAGGAGGAGTGGGAGGAACGACTGCGCAGCGCTCAGCAGGGAGAGGAGTCGCTCCGCAGAGAGCTGCAGAACCTCAGGTGGGCCGGACCGGACCGGACCGGTACTGTACACCCCAACCGAAGCCCTTTCTAGTTCCGTGGGGCCCCTAGTTTATCAAACTACAGCGCAGATTCATATCCCTGCAGATGATCCACCACATTCTAGTTTAGAAGCCTAACAGGCTGCAGTTAAAAGACCTAATTATTAAACATGCCAATACGTCAAGGCCAACTTATCCCCCCATATAAATGTAAGACTTTTTAAGGATGCAAAACAACCTGAGTCAATCTTTACATCTTTATTTTGTTATAATATCAAAGATGTAACAAATTTGAGATGTTTTAATGCTGCACAATCGGCCCCAGCATTCGCCTTCAAGTTACAGCCTAGTTAAAGATCCTGTTCCTGTTTCTGTGGTTTGAGACTTCAGTGTTTCATGTTGGTCAGTAAAGTCTGGGGCTGATGATGATGATGTGAAGTTCCTCTCAGCACAATAACCATCTAATGTGAATCTATTCTTGAAAATCTTGTTTTGTGTTTCCTAGAAACAAACTGCAGCATCAGAGTTCACAGCTAGAGGAGCGAGAGAGACAGAAAGCAGAGATTATTGAGCTGCAGCAGGTGAGTCTTTTTGTTCTTTTCTTTGTTTTGAGTTGTAATGGATTTGATTTCTACCCTGAATATTGTTTGAGACAACAGCAGAACCAAGAGCTCAGTGTCCAGCTGGGGGCGCTGTCACGCTCTGAAGGCGAGCTGATGGACGCCAACCGGAGACTGAGGGAGACTCTGGACAGAGTGAGGGAGGAAGCGCGGGCGACCCGGGCCCAGGTGGAGCGGAGCCAGCATGAGGCAGAGAGGTGCGGCCGCTCGCTCTCTGCCGCTTCCTGTGGGTGCAATCTTTAGCTGCCTCCACCAATTCCTAATCGATTCATATTATAAATACTTTATTGATCTGACAGGGAAACTAAATGTTGCTGTAACTCAATATATTCATGATTCTTTACAGAGTTATTACAAATGGTAATGGCTGTGGGAAGGAAGAATCTCTTGTAGCAGTCAGTATTACAGCAAACTGAAAAGGCCTCTGACTGAAGACACTGTTTCTACGAGAACCTCATGAAGAGGAAGGCTTCATGAGTTCCTCTTCATGAGGAACTCTGATTGGGTCATGATTGGGTCTCTTTAACACGTTGAACAAATTAAACTATTACTTAGAACCTAAGTTCACCAACAGTATGAATGATGTTGAGCCAAACTAACTGACCTAGCTTAGGATGTGATTAGGATTGGATTGATACACATTAAACCCTGACAAATTTAGCAGGTGACATGTCAATGTCAAATGTCAATGTCAAATTTATTTATATAGCACTTTAAAACAGGTATAAAACTGCACCAAAGTGCTGCACAGGAATGACAATAACACAAGTAGATAAAACAGAATATCAAAAATTGCTTCAGTTAAAAGCCAACGAATAAAAATGAGTTTTGAGAAGCGATTTAAAATGATCCAGGCTGCTAGCAGATCTAATCTGAAAATGCAAATTGTTCCATAAATTAGGAGCAACAACAGAAAAAGCCCGATCTCCTTTCCTTAGTCGAGTCCGAGGGACTGTAAGTAAAAGCTGATTGATTGATCTGAGGGTTCTGGACACAGACTGAAATTTTAAAAGATCCTGAAGATAACCCATTTAAAACTTTATAAGTTAATAAAATAATCTTAAAATCTATTTTATACATAGAAAAAAAAAAGCAAACCTAATGCCAGACTCAGAAAAAAAGGCCTGACCTTGTCTGACTATGTTTTGTTTTTTCTCAGTAACTATATTAAATGTTAAAAATTCCAAGCGGAATGTGGAACACTTGTGGGGATAAAATCCCCACAAGTGTTTTATTTTTTAAATATGTTGAAGTTCCACTGTTAAAAAAACTGATGTTGGGTCAATCATATTTGGAACCAGGTGTGTGAAAATTTAGTAATGAAAAGGGGGCGTGTGCGACGGCGAGGCGTGGCACAATCAGCAAGTAGGACGCTCATGGTCAGATCTGTGCAGCGGGAGTTTGGCTTTATTGATTGTTTAACCCAAGGAAAGAAACTAACGAAAAAGATAAAAGATCGATTAAGGTTCGCCCCAGCGCCGCAGATCGTGCCCAAAAGCCTGGACCGAAGTTTGCACCGAGGAAATGCCGCCCGGTGCAGAAGGACGACGCCAGTGCATGGAGGAAGCCACCGGGGGGAAAAGCGACGCTCCCGATGAGATCTTGACTTTATTTTCTTTTGGGGGTTTTTGGGTGGCACCACTCTTCTTTTTTTCTCATCTTTTTTGGTTTTTTTTGACGTTTTGGATTTTTCTTTTGGGATGGAGACCGGGGATTAATACGGAGAGACGCTTCCAGGACGTTGTTTGATTTGGAGTTTATGGGACTCTTTCATGGACAAAAATATTATAAAAAGGAACAGGACTATTAGGACCTTCGATTATTTAAGTGTGGTTGAGGACTCAGCCTGAACAAGGCGAATCAGACCCTTGATTATTTTGGAGGGTTTTGGGTAATGATTTAGGTTTATTAAGTATGCAAATTTCAGGTTTTCTGAATAAATAATCTCTGGTAAAAACCTATTAATTTTGTATTGAGTGGTTGAATATTAATTTTTTTTATCAAATTAACCTGGTAACACTTATTTCCTATTTACCTGACACAAGATCCCCCTTGTGTGTTTTTTGTGGGTTCCGCTTTAATCAAGCCGAATATTACAGGATGTCGTTCCTAATCTCACACTCCAGCTTTTCCATCACGTTGTTCATCCTAACAGTCAACTGCTGCCGTTGTCTTCGGTAGATGAAAACACGACTGAAATGAACGAGCCAATGAAGAACAAATGAAGAGAAATCTCGAGCAGGATTTTTGGAGGAGGGCTAAACCATGGTGCACTTACCAACCAGGGTGATGGGGATCAGCAATATGATGAGCAGTATTAAAATTAATAATGAAGATGATTTGTTCAGTTTTATAGATTCATTTCCATATTTCACCTGTAAGAGATAATAATCACAATGGTTGGTAACAATTCATTTGAAGGGGTGTGCATAAGACTGACATGAGACTGTGGTAAGTATGACATAACTCCTGACTTGAACATGAAGTGGTGTCTTCATGGAGGTTTATGACTTTTGTCATGAAGTGTCATTCGGTAAATCATAACACTTGCCCAGTTTTCTAACAAAACTAGAGTCAGTTTAGCTTTTCTGCTTCCATCAACATGTTCTGTCCTGTTTCTTGATTTATATTAACCAAGTAATGTGAAAAACTGATAGGGAAATTTGTTGTAGTTGCAGCTAAAAAACACAGGATTTCAACAGCACTTTAAATTGTTCAACTAATACGACCATAAATTTGGTTTTCACCTCGACCATATCAATGTGATCGCTTTGCAGTCCTTTGATCTCACAGGTAAAGGTTTCTGTCTTGTTGCTGGTTCCTTCGGGTTTTATGTCGCAGGCATATCGAATTTTATTCTGAATTCCCACAACTGACAGCTCTTCTACTGTCATCTGCAGGTCATCTGCCTTTTTCTGAAAGAACAAACCAGTTTCCCCTTCAATAATGTAACATCAAGATGTCTGACTGAACAAATGTGGACAGAAACGGCCGTACCTGAATAGTGATGCGGACGTCGCTCCCTTCCTTCACGGCTGTGAAGCTGGAAAACTCTGGGTCAGGATAGTAAGTTATTTTCTTCGAGCATGCCAACGTTTCATTGGCTACTTTCAGAAACGCTGTGCTGATGGACACTAGAGGGCCTTTGGCTGCTGGAGTTTTATAGATGAGAGTCTGTTGAAAATGAAAATGTAGCTTGATGTAGTTCACTATATGCTGATAACAGAGTTTCTGTCTGCAGAGTTACCTGATAGCTGCTGCTCATGGGAGACATGACTTCCTGCTGGGTGTGGCTGTGTGTGATCCCCTCCACCAAATCCAGGTGAGTCCCAGTAATAGTGACCTTCCTGCCCCCACTGGAGGACACAGAGAACAAACACACTTTACGCTTGTTGTTCTGACCAGTTTTTTCACAGCATACAGCATGTGACTCTTCTAACTACAGAGTTTTACGTGCATTCAGTGGTGTGAAAAGTATTTACCATGAAGAAAACCTCTGAACACCTGACTCACTGTAAAGTCACAGTGTTAGCAAAACATCAGGTCAGCTGAGAACTTGACTCAACAAACATCAGGTTTGTCAGGAATCAAACAATGAAGAACAAAATGAATCAAGAACACATCAAATCAATCTGGGTTTCAGATTGATTTTAGAGGGTATGTGTGATTTATAAAGTTTAAAAAGGTTCAACAAGAAATCAGGACGTGTGAAGTTTAACCTGGCCTACCAATCAACTTTGGGTTTAATAAATAAATTAATATTACATCAGTGCATGTTGCTCTGCAGATGATGGAAATCTATCATTTTTGCAAGAAAAAGTTTAAATACCTTCTCCAGCTGCTGCTTGTGTGATATCAGTGCAGATTGGTGATGACTGATAGGTGACGATGAAGTTGCCGTGGCAACTTCCATCTGGAAGGAGAACACATATTTTGACCGGGCCTTTAGCTTCTGTGCTGGGGATGTGGAAGGTCAGACTGGAGCCGTTGTTGCTGAACACAGGAGATCTGATCAGAAAACACAGAGAGAAAAACTGAAAACCATGAACTGACATCACAAGTCAGACCACATTTATTTGCATAGCAAACTTCAGCAACAAGGCAACTCATAATGCTTTACACCAAAAGAACCCAAAACAAAACATAATGCAGTGACCAGTTATGAAACAGGGAATAAATATGTGAGCTGTAAGCAAGTTCACTCTGAAAGGCCACAGTGCACTTTCACATGCACTGTTCCTGTGAAAGTGCATGTCTGCACAGTCAGACAGAGGCTGCACTAGTGTTAGTTTTTCTACCACATGAGGTAAGAGTTGCTATTATAGAGGAAGGTTGCTGATCACTTCTTTCAGACAGAAAACACACTTTTAAGTCATTCAATGTTTTCTCTGTAATTTAATAACTTTCTTTATCCTAAAAAACAATGAGTGAATATATACTTCAAAGGACACATAATGGTTTCAGATACTGTGGTAAAGAATAAAAGGACTCACTCCTTTGGGTCACAGTCCAGGTCTGCTTTAATCCTGACTCGGGTCACATCTCTGAGGTTACGACCCGACAACACAGCCTGATTTCTGCCATAGAAAGACACAACACTGGGAGAGACGGAGGAGATCTCTGGTATCTGAAGGAGCAGAAAATACAAATGTTTCACATTACCAAAGAGTTATAATGAAAATATAACAAATATAACTTGCTGGTTATATTTTCAGTATAACCAAATTAACTCAAAACAATTAAAAATGTGACTCACAGAAAAATTTCTCCCAAACTGCTCAAGGTTTGGGCAAATGTCCTGCAGAAAGAAAGAAGTGACATTTATCAGTTCATTTTATGAAGCTGTTCCAGATTACATTAGAAATGACAAAGAAATACAGTAGATATTCATATTAAGAAATGCAATTATAACTAACAAACCCTATTTGAGAAGAAACTTCTCTAAATTTCATCTAAAAATCATCAATATTTCAAGATTACGTTGCTGACTGCATCAGTGGCCCAGGAGCAGCTGTTCTGTCTCCACCCACATCCTGCTCTGATACACCGCTGACACCTGGACAGAAACAGCCCCAGTTTGATCCCAGTTTGATCTCAGCTTTACTCAAACATTATGACACATGATGCAGATTCTTTTAGAAACATCAAGATGCAATAATAATGCATCTTTCCTGTTAATGAAACATTGTGAAGAATGAAGCTTCTCTGGATTCAAGACAAATTATTTCCTTTCAGCTACAACATGAAACAGATGATTCTACCAGCTTGTAATCTGTCAGATTTAAATATCAGCTACAATATTTGCATTATTCAGATTTCATGCAGAGTTATTATGAAAACACTGGAGTTAAATCATACTGTTAGACTTTAGGATGATTTCAGTTGTTATTAAATCTGTATTAGAAAACATAGATGAACTTACAGGTGAAAACTTGGTTGCCCCTGGATACTGGAACAATTAATGATCTTTATTTGTTCTGTCAGTTTTGTGTCTCCAAGTCTGATCGTCACGGTAACGTCAGGATCTGTAAATCCAAGATAAAGTATGAAACTTTAACAGCTGAAACAAAATGTTTAAAGAC